CACACACACACATAGCGAACGCACCTGGCAGCGCATATGGCTCCAGCCCTTTACATTTGCATGCACTTGTCCATTCATCCATACCGTTGTAAATAAGGGACTATCCCTTACAGTACACATGAATTCACACACCCACACAAATCAGGAGTAGTAGTGTTTCTTTTTCTTTTCTTGTGTATATATTTATATATATCATGTCTGTGTGTTAAATTTGGAGCTGGAGCAAGACATGTTTAGCTTAGCTTAGCATAAAGACTGGAGGCTCTGTCCGAAGTTCTTAAATACATCTAAACTAAAACCTTTAAACCTATTAACACGTAGACTCTTTAACCTGTATATAAATAGATATGTGTGGTTTTAGAGGGAGTTACAGGAGGAGACTTAGAAGTGGGGCTTCGGCTAACATTATTATTTTTTGATCGATCGTTTTCTCTTATTTTTTGGGATTAATTGATTAATCGTTCAGTCTCTTAAAATGTCACAAAATAGCCAAAGTGAAGATCAAAAACAGAGAAAAGCAGTGAACCCTCATGTGCTGGCCCCAGTGAATATTTTGTATTGTGCTTCGTAAATGACTTAAAAGATGAATCAATTTAAAAATGTGTTGATAATGATAAAATAAAACAATAAATAAAATGTATATTATGATCTATAACAAGTAAAGAAATGATTCTGCCTCAAGCGGCTGTGTAATATGTATGGAAGGTGGCTAATACCTAGCTGTCACAGTAATTTGGCCGTATTGTTCTGAGGCTCTGAGGCTGTTAAGCTCCGGTAATGACAGCGTCTGGGAGTCGATACTCTTCGTGTCCAGCTGATGAAAGGCTGTTTGTTTATTATTCATTGTGTGTGTGTGTTTGTGTGTGTGTGTGTGTGTGTGTTTGCGTTCTGTGGATAAACGTTTATAGGCGGCTTTAAAAGGCTAGTAAGTCAATTATTGATGCTTTCCACGACCTCTCTCTTTTCGCCCTTCCTTCCACTCTCTGCTTTTTGCACTTTCCTCTTCATTAAATTCCCTCTCTTTCCCGCTCTCTTTCCCTGTTTCTTCTCTTCCTCCCGCCGTCTCTGCTCTCCCTGACCGATGCTGTGGGCTACCTGGGCGGCGATGCTGGAAAGTCTTGTTCCTCTGGTGCCCGCGCTACCTGCCAGTTGGGTAGAAAGTGTTTGTGTGTGTGTGT